ATCACTCATAAGAACCGAATGTGGGGTCTGGAGAGATTGCTCAGTGGTTAAGCACTGGCTGCTCTTGCAGAGGACCTGGGTTCAAATTCTAGCACCCACCTGGTGGCTAACAACCATCTGTAACTGCAGTTCCAGGGGATCCAATGCCCTCTTCTGACCTCTGTGGGCATTGTATGACACGGATGCACTGACCTACCTGCAAGCAATACACTCATATACATAAAATAAGAATAAAATATTTTGTAAAAAAGAACTGAACGTGAAAACCACATAGATGATCTCCAAGTGACACTAACAATATACTAGCTAATAACATGCTAACAAGTGTATTATTGAACAGCTACAAACATTAATTGGTCATAATGGGTGTTACAAGGACTCTAAAAGATGTTTATAGTCTTTCTGTTGGTCGTTCAATCATTCAGAAAGACACCCTGTTATTAACGTTAGCCACAACCAAGAGGATTATGGATTCTAAAGGAACATCTCAGAGACATGTCAGGCACATTTTAGAAACTTCTAAAAGGTCCGAATTTCTACTCACTGAGTTATTAGAAAGGATCAACTCTGCAGCCTAGGAGTCTAGCAGTTAATCCACAACTTCCCTGACTTTGGGCTACTCTGTGGTCACATGTCCTCAGTCCTGGTGAACCCAGGAAATGATTTCATACTGACTAACCAGTGTCAGCTTGGGACTCTATCAACCACGTGAATGGAATGACCACAAGATGCATGTAGTGTAGACCAGGCAGCAAGCGTACCACAGAAAAAGCAGCTTCCCTGTAAACAAGTGGAGCAAAGGTGGGTTCTGGTTCTTTATTGCACACTGCGCTCAGCAATAGCAAAGGCGTATGAGCCATTTACTCGAAGGACACCACTGTATTTGAGTTCATTTGTGTGAAAAGAATATACTTTCTGTACTAATTTTAAGAAACTATTGCAAAACTGATTTTTTTTTTAAAGACTGGCTTTATTTAAAAAAGGAAGACAAAAAAAGTAATTGAAATGAGATATTTTGTTTCACTTTAATGAGAGATGTAAAGTCTCCACTCAGGCCTCTTAAATTTCAACATTGAAAAGGGTGATTACCCATTTCCATTTCAGATTATGGTCAGTTGGTATACAAGTAGAGGGAGGGCCGTGGCAAAGAGAGCGTGGGTTTTATGCACCGAGAGGCTGGGGACCAGCCGCTTTTCTGCCTGGCACGTCCTTAGCTCGGTCACCCGTGACTGTGGGTTTGGGGTGCAGGAGGCCCAGGCTGGGCTCTGATTTCCATTGTTTCTCAGTGCCTAGCACAGGCATAGGAGTCACAAGCAGGAATTATCAAAAGAACGAGAGAACAAAGGGGCTGATGCAGACCCTGAGTGGAGAATGAGAGTCCCGTGACCTGGACAGCTTGGCAGAGTCTGCCGAGAGAGAGCCCACATTGTTTCCTCAGAAGGAGGCCTGGGACATGACTGACCCACCGGGGCCCTGGCAGGCTTTCTTGAGAGAAAGCTTGCAGGCTCTCACAGACTCTCTTACGTTCTCTTTGGCTGACCAATAGTCTATGGAGGACAGTTTGTTGCTGATCCTTTGGAAGTTTCTGGAAGTGGATGTTTTCACCATCCCTCACGTTGGACATTTCTGTCACCTGAGACCATCTCACCCTGGGTCACCTGATGCTCCCAAACACTTCTGCTCCAGCAGTCCCTGGGAAACTCTATCACCTCTTAATGATTTTAAATTATCATACAAAGAAGTGGGTTTCATCAGCATTTTCCTAGACACATGACATTTCACTCTGTATTCCTCTCCCTCCCGTCCCTTCCCCTCCCCTCCCCGCTAGGGGAAGGAGTTCCTCTCTTCAAGAATTCCCCTCTCAGACTGGAGCGATGACTCGGGTTAAGAGCACTGGCTGCTTTTGCAGAAGACCTGAGTTTGGATCCCAGCCCCTCCTGGCAGCTAACACCTGTCCATATCCAGTTCCAGGAATCAGATGCCCTCTTCTGGCCTCTGTGGGTATTGCATGACACAGATGCACTTACATGCATGTAGGCAAAACATACACATAAAATAAAATACAACAAGAAATTTAAGAACCTCTCTCTCTACTTACAAGTTACATGTATCCCATTACCCTCTGTTTTAATACCACTTCCTCCCTTCTGAGAGTCCCTTTCTCTCTCTCTCTCTTTCTCTCTTTCATACCCCCCCCCTAAATTTCAATCTACATTCTGCTTATATGAGAGAAAACATACCATATTTGTCTTTCTGAGTCTGGCGTTCCTCTCTCACTAGGGCCGTCCACTTTTCATCAAATGTCATGATTTTATTTTATTTTTTTGAATGTCTGAATAAGAATGAATGAGTGGCTAGAGAGATGGCTCAGCCCTTAAGAGTACTGGCTGCTCTTGCAGAGGACCCAGGTTTGGTTGCCAGCACCCACATGGCGGCTAACAACTATTTATAACTCCAGTTCCAAGCGGATACAACACACCCCCCTTCTGCCCTCTGCAGCCATTGCACGCATGGGTGCACTGACATACAAGTAAGCAAAACACATGCATAAAACAAAAATAAACGAGCTGAAAATTTTAAGAGAATAAGAATTAAAATTAAAAACATGGGAACTGGAGAGATGGGTCAGCAGTTAGAGCACTGGCTGCACAGCAGAGGACTTGGGTTCCTCAGCTAGGGCTGGGACTTCTGGCCTACCTCTCCCCATCCATTCTGGGTTTTCATCTGGCTTGGGCTTGCACAGATTGTGCATGCTATCACAAGCAATGTGGCTTCACATGTGTCACTGCCCTGTGGTGTCCACACAACACAGTTTTCTTGTATTCATTTACCACCCTGACTCCTTGGGGGCGGGGAGGGAGAGAGAAAGAGAGAGTGCCCTTCATTGTGTGATAGATATCCAACTGTCTTGAAAACTGCTTAATTGGCTAACTCAGGGAACTTTGACAGACCCCACAAGCAGGTTACTCTGTGGAGGGTTGTCCTATGCTAAGCTGCAAGCTCCTTCAGACAGACAGACAAGATGCATGCACGCACGCACGTGCACAGTCTTATCTGACTTTCATTCCTAAATACCAGACAAATAGGTGCTGATGGAGTGACTGAATGAATCTGTCAATCTAAGCAGAAGAAGTTGGGGTTCGCCTTTGAAATGTTAATAAGCTTCAGCTGTTTAAATGCTGGAGCAAACTCTTCCCTCAGTTTTCTCTTTAATCCCTCATTAGTTCTTCTAACAGCAGAGGCTGGGAACTTCCTAGTCAGTCCCAACCTGTGCCAATAAAAATCATCCCGAGGGCCAGTAAAATCAGGGTGGGGATGGCAGCCCGGAGCACAGCCTAGGGAAGGAGAGGACTCTGGTGACCCCATGCTTGGGCCCCCCCAACCCACCACAGAGGTTCTTTTAGCCACTTCTGTGATCTTGCCTGCCAGGGGAACGAATTGTAAACAAGACTCCCCCAGAATGATGGAAGCAGATGGGTAAATGGAGCTGCCCTGGCATGTCTGGTCAGTGCTGCAAAGCCACCGCCTCCCAGCTCAGACCTGGCCGATTAACCTGTTGGAGTCTCCTTATCTGTAAAATGTGGGGACACTGCAATTTACTTCTAAAAACTGAAAAATGTACACTGTTATGCATAGTGATTCTGTGATGTTAGCTAATTGGACAGTTTTTAAGACAGCTGGGTATCTACCACAATGGAGGGGAGACACCACGCACACGGGCACACACACACACACATGGAGTCTGCCTAGGCAAAGGGGCTGTGGCGCCAGCACTTGCTGCCTAGGGAAGTCACCCCACTGTAATAGAGTGCTTCCAACGGGAGCAGAGCCACCCCAGGCCCTGCTGCCCCACTCCCTCTTCACTGTGCAGAACCAGAGGCCACTGAGCTTCCTCAACAGAGGAAGTGGGAAGGAGCCCGGCGTGGGTGGCTGGAACTGAACCCTTTCTTCTACTACCTCCTACTCTATCATCTTTTTCCCTCCTGTGCCAGGGGAAAGAGAAACAGCTTCAGCTTCTGCTGAATCTACACACATGTGGCTCTGCCCTTGCCAGCGTGCAGACCCTACCTCATCCCTCATCAGCACTCACTGAGTACCCAGAGGGTGCAGGGTGTAGAACATGCTCCTGGAATGCCTCCTCTGGGAGCTCAGAAGCTCATGTCGACATTGAGGGCTTACCCAGAGCATGAGGACCATTGTCGTAACACCTACTTGATCCCTAATCCAGCCCCTCCCTGCTTCTGGCCGGAGAGTACATTTGGGAGTCTGTACTGATAGACATTTAGGTTTTTGTTTGCTTGTTTGGGGGTGGTTAGTACTGTGGGCTGGCCTGAAATTCACTGTATAGGCCAGACTAGCAGTTAAATTTCAGAGAGCAGAAGGAGTTCAAAGAAATAAGAACCAGAGCCAGACCTGCAACAGGCAAGGACTGCGTCCTCTTCAGGAGAGCACAGCGAAGGGCCAGTGCTGTCCACAGACACGGACATCAGCAAACAGAAGCAGAACAGTCTGATTTTGTATAGGGACCGTGCTAAGCACAACTGCAGGAATTTACTCCCTGTCAGGTGTCCTTGGGGGTACTTGAGGTTGATTCTGCAGTCTCTGTAGTGATCAGTTGATAAGGCCAGACCACCAGAGCAGGCTATGGCACAGCACAAGTTAAGCCACGCCTGTAACCAGTCTCTGTCAGTAAGGGAAGTGACCAGTTGATAAGGCCTGATCACAGGCCAAGGCGCCAATTTGGGCCATTCAGCTGCCTAGAGGAATTTATGTAAGGAAGCTTATGACTTTCCTGCAAGTTACACATCCTACCACTAGCCTTGAACTCAAAGCAGTCCCCCTGCCTCAGCCTCCAGAGTGCTAGGATTACAGGCATGCACCAAGGTGCCCAGTTGAGATCTAGTGTGATGTCAACGATAACAAACACCTACAGTCATCGCTGTGGGCTCCACTCCCTTCCTTCCTCACTGTCTCCTCCTTGCTCATTAATTTGCTTCTAGGAGAAGAATTTAGACTGGTTTCCCCGGATGCGAGCCATGTCGCTTGTTAGCAACGAAGGTGACAGTGAGCAAAATGAGATTCGGAACTTGCAGGAAAAGCTGGAATCGACCATGAGCCTGGTGAAGCAGCTGTCGGGGCAGCTGGCAGAGCTGAAGGAGCAGGTCAGTGAGCTGGGGAGCAGACGGGGACGGGGGACAGCCCCGCTGGGAGCCAGGGGTCCTTCTCAGAGAATGAACTCCAGCAAAGAAACCAAGCCACACTGCTGTGCAAAAGCATCTCAGCAAGCAGGGGTTCACGCCCCACCCAGTTCCTGTGCCACAGTTCTCATTCTGTGGAAGGAGAAAAGGAGAGCAAGGGGAAGGGAAAGAAGCCGGGGGGGGGGTGTTCTGGAAGCGGGAAGACAGGGACCCCGTGTATTTATTCATGGAAGATCTTATTTCCTGTCAGGCTTTGGATTTATAAAATCATTGGAAAGGCAGGTATTCTCTAACAGGTACCACTCCAGGGTCCTAATGAACCCTTTATCACACGACATCGTTAGCATTCGCACAACACTATCACTTGTTCCCCTGGCAGCCATTAAAACGGCTGTGAGGAGACTGATAGGCAAGCTGTGTTCAAACAACCATGCTTCCTGTTCCTTACCATAGGGGGGCTTTCCCCTTTGTTTGTGGAAATTCACATTTTAAAATAAATTCTTTTTTGATAAATATATTCTATATGAAGCCTTAGGAAATAGATACACAAAATATTTGTGGCCCATGACACTGGGGAAGAATTGTGAAAACGAACTGAAGTGTGTTTCCCTAGATGGACGGTCTCTCTCCCAGATGTCTCTGTCTCTGTCTCTCTCTCCAAGATGAAGTCTCTCTCCCCCCAGATGAACAGTCTCTCTCTCTCCCCCCATGAACAGTTTCTCTCTTCCCCAGATGCACAGTCGCTCTCTCCCCCAGATAAACAGTCTCTCTCTCTCCTCAGATGACAGAACAAAGAAAGAATAAGCAGAGACTGGGTTTCCTGGGATCAAACACACCCCATGTGAACCATCACATGTCACCGCACTGACACCACGGGGGACGCCTGACCAGCCTTTCATCGGATGCCTGCCTCTTTGCTGAAGGAAGGACGGAGCTGGAGGGAGCGAACAGTGCCTATTGTTGAAAAGTTAAAAACAACCAAGTGCCAAGATGCTGAGCCCTTTAGCTCCAAGAACAATCTGTAACTGTGTTTTCACGCTTGAGCAGACCCAAGCGAAAAGGCAGCCCGGGGCACAGACTCTCAGGGCAGCCAGAAGGAACCCGTGGGCTGGCGAGGGTGGGAGATCCTGAGTCATAGGAGAGAGCAGGATCCCTCTGCTCAACCCATAGGACTCAGACTTGCCTAACAGGCTGTCTGCAGCCTCCGTTATGGTTGGTTGGAATTGATTTCTTTTAATTGTGGCACCCGGGTCAGTGAGACAGGGAGCTTTGGTAGCTAAGTTTTATTAAGGAAAAATTTAAAAGATTAAAAATGAGAGTTAAAAAGAAACCCTGTTATGCTTCTCAGCCCTACCTGTGACTGGAGATGATGGAACACAGTGGACATGGGGCTGTACACCTCAAACACTGACAACGTAACTGGAACATTCCTGCGTTTTCAGGAATGCATATGGGTTCTATGCAGGGGCTGCACAAAAAGAAATTTTCATAGAACTTGCTGGGAATATGTTTAAAGTCATGTGTCGGCTAAGATCATTAAAGATCTAGAGAAGAAAACTGACCATAAGCCTCAGGGAATAATGTGTTGAGCACATGTGCTATTAAAAATACTGATATTAATAAACGAGAAACACAGGTGACAGGGATATTGAGACACGATGATGGCCTGGCCTTTTATAAACGAGTGAAAACAACTTGATTTATATTTGTGGTGCTTAAGAAACAATGTTTTTGTTCAGTTACTACAGCTGAGGGACAGGACATCTAAGAACTATATCAAATACACACACACACAAAAAAAACATTTCAGTGGCATATTTAAGACTGTTACAGTAAGGGCGATTCAAAATAGAAACAGATCATTTCTTCCCCAAACTGCTTTTCTGTTGAATCATGCGACCAGAATTTATTGAGAGAGAAAGTAAGCTTGGTGGTTAGATTATTTTTGGAGACTGCACATTTGAAAGATTAGAACAAAATACAGTGAAAGTGTTAGAAAAATTGCAGAAAAACTTCTTTGTGGAGAGGGCCGGTGGCCACGACTCCGCTCCCTGAGGAAGGCCTTACACATTGCAGTCTTCCAGGCGTAGCCACCAAGGGCAACGTGAGGTTTTCTGTGACAACTTTTAAAGCTTTTGGGTGTTCCAATACAGTTTTAACTGTTGGTGCCTAAAACTGTCAGATCCTGGGTCTGTATAGACATTCAAGAAACCTGAGTGGGCCCTTCTCACGCTCTTTGGATGTAGACTTGGGATCCGGCTGTTGGACCCGGAGTGATGAATTTAGAACTGAATCTATTGGTACACTCACACACACACACCAGGACCACCCCAAATTAAGGAATGCCCTCAGCTAGGGCAGTATTTTTTTAAGCCCATATTTGAATGACTCTGACTCCTGTGATCCACAGATACTGTGAGACAAGTACAGGCAGTAGGGACCTTTGACCCAACCTGGCATGTCAGAGACTTGCCATTCCTTACCCTTAATTCTTCACTAGAACTTTAAGCAATAACCACAACATTATATTTTAGTATCCCCAAAATCACACCAAGGCAGCCACTTTTAAAACCCAAGGCCATATTGCTGTTAACAATATCAGGTAAAGGTACATTTGGCGGGGCTGGAGACATGCTCAGCAGTTAAGAACACTGTTCTTCCAGAGGACCTGGGTTCGATTCCCAGCACCCACATGATGGCTAGCAACCATCCATGACTGCAGTTCCAGGGGATCTGATACTCTCTTCTGACCTCCTTGGGCATTGCATGGCATGGGTGCACTAACATGCATGCAGGCAGTATACTCATACACATAAAATAAAAAGCTTTTTTAAAAGTACATTTGGCAAGAGGAGAGAGAAGTGGTAAGTAAATGTGTTGCCATGTGGGCGCCACCCGGGTCACCACGGAAGAAAAGAGCCCCAATGTTGAACTAAAAGTGGAAAGACTGAATTAGCTTGCACAGGTGTGAGCAGCCTCTTTTAGAGGCTGTTCGAACTGGTCTTTCCTGACTCAATAATGGTTGGTTCTGTAGGGAATAAGGTATGTAACTGACTGAACCTCCTAGCCACTGAGCCAGCTGCAGCCAGCCACTGTTTGAGGCACATTTTTCTCCTAAGTAAACATCCAAAAGAGACCCTAATAACGAGACTCTTTATCAAAATTTTTTTAAAATGTAGCTCATTTTGTTTTTGAGACAGGGTCTCCCTGTGGCCCCAGTTGGCCTAGAACTCACTATGTAGACCAGGCTGCCCTCAATCTCACACAGATCTGCCCGCCTCTGCCTCCCAAGTCCTGGGATCAAAGGTGTGCACCACCACGCCTGGTTTAAGCTGTAATTTTAATGTCTTTCTTACCTACATGATTAGAGATTATTTTAAAAAAGCTAAACAAAAGGCACTTTCCAGGACACTGAATTCATGAAGAAGTT